AGCACAGCCCAGGCCTAAATGAGGGGTTCACTGGTTGCACACCTGTGACCTCATTGCCTGATATTAAAGTGAGTGAGGCATCAGTGCTAAAAATTGCCCAATCGAAGCAGATGCTATCACTTTGGAGGCATTGCTGCTAGGCTCCCTGAAAGAAGGCTGGCCACCAAAGTTGCCCAGAAAGGCCCCTCCTATTACTGGAAGTGCAGAGAAGTTCAATTTCTCAGGGACAAATACTTGGGAAATTCCCTGAGCTACTGGGCCCAGCTAATGGTGGGTCCAGGAGGCTGCCTAGGAATTTCAAACCCTACCTGCCACCGCCTTCTTGCTGGATTATCATCAATATTTTCTTGGTGAACCTCTTCCAGTACACCAACTTATGTACCATCATGTCTGGAATCTCACCAAGGCATTCAGCTAGCTTACAGCATCTAGAGAGAGGGCTTAGAAACTTCCCTGTCATTTAACAGCAGCCAGAAAAGAAGGAAAGTTACTGCCTTGGCCATATGGTAAAGGCATCTGATTCAAATGCTTTTCAGGAGACACAAAACACTGCCATGGTCCCTCTCATGCTGCTCCATGAAGCCCATCAGGAGTGATGAACTCTGAGATTCATGCCACCAAGAGGTGTTTGCAGCACACGCAGGGTTCAGCGGGATATACCCCGCACATCCATGGATATCACATGCTGGCCAGCTCCACTTCTGCACCACTGCAGGCTGGGAGCTCCACAGTCAACATGTCCTACAAACTCAAGGGAGAGCCAGCAACTGCCCAAAAGAGCTGCCTGCCCAGGCTGGTCCTTACCCACGGCGCCGTTGTGGATTCGGGCTGACAGGCTCGCTATGAGCCGCGCGCACGCTTCGGGCAGGACGTGAGGCCCAACTTCAGATGCAATTTCAATACAGTGATACTTCTGGTACTCATCTAAATCCTTTTCACTGCATAAGTTCTCCACGGAGCCGATTCTGGGAATAAGTCCAAGCTTTGTCGTTAAGAGAGAAAAGAAAATATTTTTGCTTAGATATATTGAAAACCAGAATTTCCCACATTCTCTTAATGTGATTCCCATTGCAATGACAGAGGCCTGGAGCATTGGGTTTCCAAATCTGCAGTTGTGCCATTCTGTCATCTAAACTCACATTTATTCTGAAGGTCTAAACATTCCCTGAGTTCTTCAAATAAGAGAGACTGTGTTTAAGAAAATAAAATTATAATAAGATCTCTGATATATACTCAGAACTGGTCTTGCTCTGTTAGTCACTCCAAAAGCAGTGTCTGGCCAAAATTTTTACTTGTATTACTGTGATAGGGAAAAATCAGCTGAAGGTTCTATGTCCAAGTATAGTCAGCCCTTGCCAGGTCCAGTTCTACAGGAATAATAAGAGAAATAGACCTAAAAATATTTTTCTCAAGAGAAGGACCCAAAACTAAGTTCCTGTCTTGATGGAAACTTGGGAAATATCTGGACCTGATTCCCAGGAAGTACACAACTAATTTTACTTTTCCAATATAATAATTAAAAATATCCATGAACCCAACAAATTAGAGATATTTAAAAAAACCTAAGTGATGAGGAGCTGTACAAATTTCTAACCATAGTCACAGCATCTTATCAGCACATATATATGGACTGTGTTCATAATCAATGAGCAACAGATAGAGATACATGCAATGTATGCAACAAGTATAACTTGTATTGCTCCATGAAAATTTAACCAGATACAATTCTGCCTTTCCATACAAAAATATGCAAACAATGCCAATGAAGAAAAACAGAAGCTGAATTTCTATTAAAACACACTACACCTTATTTAAAAATACTTCTAATAAGTCTGTAAAAAAATACCACTGTGTATAAGTACAACCTCAAGGGACTTGTGACAGAATTACTCACTGAGTCAATCAAGATGAATGATTTTGCCTTTTTGTCAGAGGCAGAGAGCTGAGAAAAATACACATCCACAAAATATTCTGTTCCTGGCTCCAGGCAGACTGGAGTTTGCAGAATTGCAATCCTGTTTAACAGAAATGAAGCACAGATATAGCCAGGAGTCAGGACAAGGCAAGTTTACTGAATGTTGTGAGCTCTCCCTTCCCTCTGTGCCTGCAAACTGATGCCTGCAGCCTGGAGCAAGCCCTGCTGCTGTGAGGAGCACACCCACCCCCATGCTTGCAGGCTTTGGGAAAGCTGCAGGACTTCTGCCAGATGCTTCACTAAGTGCAATTTAATCCTTGGGATATTGAACTGATAATGGTAGGTTTTACTGCTTCTAGCAAGGGGGTTTGCAACTCACTGTTCATATTCATCCTTTCCTGTCCCTATTTGATCAAGATATTGGTCGCATCCTCTTAGCTTCTCTCTATTCTTTACACAGGTCCAAGCTGAAAAGCTGGCTGTGAATTAGAGTAGGACAGTGACTTTAAGTCAATATTTCCTTTCTATACTGAAGCAGCTGCAGTTGGATCTTCACCACAGCAACCAGTCTCAGCTGGATCTCAGGTTGCTTTCCTGAGTTTGACAAACCTTTGCTAGATTAAGGACTGGGGCATCAGACTCTTCCTTAGAGCCTGTGTAGTATTGTGGTGTGCTAGCAACAGAAAAGGCCACACGTGTTTCTGATATTCCCACTATCCCACACATGTGTTGCTCTGCAGTGCTTCAGTAAATGATTTGTACTCAGAAGATCTACAGGCAAAAAGACAGCAACAGTCAGACCTCTTTGTAGCTGGGAGAGGCAGCTCATGTGGCTCCTGTGAAAGGACCTTGTTTTTGCAGTGTTGACCTGACAAGATACCAGCAGGCTGGATGGCAACACTTGCAAGCCAGTCTTCCAAGAACTATAAACAAAAGACAAAAATTATGGCTACATTTTGTATCTGAAAAACCTGCTTTCTCTTTGAAAGTGTTAATGAAAGCCATCTGAATCACTGCACACTGCAGTGACAAGACAGACTTTCTCTTTATTCTTTACAGCACTGAAAAACAATGTTATTTGTGAAAAATTCATTGTATTTGCAATAGATAATGAAAAGCAGAGACGGAAATGGGACCTCAGCTAGTTCATATGGAACCAGCTCTGTTAGAGTCATTGGAGTTGTTTCTTTTCTTAGCATAGTATTTTTCTGGAGATATCCTTCATTAGCTGCCTTCTCACACATCTAATAAGAAATAATAAACATAAAAGACTTTGTAACAAATGTATTTAAAACCCAACTTTTCAATCCTTAGACAGAAAAAGTATCTCAAGCTAGCCCACTGAAAAATTGTGCCAAGGTTTTAAGGCACTGCAAGATTGTTTTGCTTCAGAGTGCCAGTCAGAGAACAGAACACAATAGACAGCAGGAAAATATTGAGTTGTGGGACTGTCCCAGAGAATTGCAAAAGAGTAAGGAGCATACAAAATCTGCTACCAATAAAACACTTGCGTGTGTTTTTGAAGACATGGGTAAGGACCTGAGTTTAACCAGATTTGGATTAATAGATTTCCTAGACATGTCATCATCATTAAGAAATCTTCTCCAGGCAAAAAATAGTAATTTGGCTATTTTCCTACAATTTTCACACATCTCAGAGTCCAGCTGGAACAACTGGGAAGCGGGATGCCTGCAAAAGGCCTGGATAAGCATCTACGCAGATCACTCCTGCCTGTACACATTTTCCTGCCCAAAAAAGCCCAGCTAGGAGTACAGGATGTTTGTCTAAAAGGAACTGTATTTTCTGTGTGTTTGATTTTTGAGTAAAAGTCCAGCCCAAGTAAAGGTGCCAAAAGAGAAACATTCAGAAGATGAAATCTTGGCCAATGCTTAGAAAATACTTTTAGTGCAGATTTTTCATATTTGAGTGGAAAGGATTAAGGAGGTTAGTGGAGGATATATTACTTAGTTGGTAAGGCAATTTGTTACTGAGTGAAAAACCAACCAATTTTAATTTTAGATATAAAGAATAGGACAAGTTGCTTATCCTATTATTCACAAAATAGACCCTGCACTATCACACCATCACAAGACATCACAAGTACCTCGGGCTCATAGCGAACTGTGATATCAAAGTCCATAGCAAAGGGAACATTGCTGATGGCAAATCTCAGCCCAGCTCCACTGGGAACACGGGCAAAGCCATGTCCTGTCCAGGTGACAGCCCGACCAGCGGTGGGCTGCCGGAGCACCACCGCCAAATCCGAGTCCTGTCCAAACTGCATCGCACCCTGCAGGGACACATTGGCATTTTCAACAACACACAGAGTCAAATTACCCAAAATTACCCAAAAACAAACTCAGAAAAAACAAAGGAAATATTTTTGCCACATTGTTTATTTATTTTAGCCATCAGTCTCATTTTCTGAACAAACTCAAGACTGACAATCTAAGACTCTCCCAGAGGTAGGATATTTAGGGGCACATGTAAAGGAAAGCTTCCTATAACTTTGCAGCAACAGCAATAAGAGGGACCAGAATAATCCACTCACCTCTGAATACTTGGCATCTCCAAACATTCACATTGCAAACCTTAAACAGAGTAAGCCTGATTTCACACATGGCTGGACTATTCCATTATAAGCAGGATATATAAATATCAGTACTTACAATGGCTGCATTTAAGTGCAGGAGGTACCATGCTAAAACTTGTTGGAAATGTCTTGCAACCAAAAAAAAAACCAAACTACCTTTCATAAGGACTTTTCTCTTCCAAAAATTCATGGAACTTGAGTCTACAAAGGCACTGGACATAGCAGAGCAAGCCTGTCAGTGTGAATAACAAAATGTCCAACCCAACTGTGTACCAAAAATTTATTTGTGTCAGGATTGTAATGTCTAAGACTGCAAATCCCATACGCTCAGACATTTCCTTGCCCTTTGTTACAAAATAGAACTTTATTATTTGGTGTAAATTTAAGTAACTACTCAAGTACGAATTTACCTGTTCCAGTCCAGATTTCCTTACAGTTCGTTTTTTGTTCCTGTTTAACACAATCTTTCCATTTTCAATCATGAACTCATAGCCTTTCTTCTGGAAGTAAATGTCACACCTTGGAAGAGTGCTTGGCTGAACCTATGAAATAATAAAAGAGGAGCAGCACTGTCTCAATAATGTTGAAGGAGGGTAAGCAAGTAAATGAAAATCCACATTCTTAAAACAAGGTCTATTCTCACAGAGAGAAACTTTAAACTGTGGCCCAGCAGCTGCTGGAAATAATTTTCCCTCACTCCTTTAAAATTAACTTGCACTTTTCCCTCATAAGCTATGTCCCAGACATCTGTTTTCCATTTAATTATTGGACTGTAGGAGGATTACAGATTGTGACTATAGCTAAATATTTGTGGATGAGACCTGAAAATAAACTTTTTTTATTATTCCTTATCTATAGTTTCTGTACAACATGTCAGAGAAAAAATGTTAGCAAAAGCATAGACAGAGGAAGGGATGCATTTCAGGCTTGCACTCAGCATGGAGAACAACTACCCCCATGTGGAAGGGGGGAAAAATTTTTTTCTAAAAACATTACAGATGGATGCCAGATTCTTGAGGAAATTAGGCTACAATCAATGCTGTTTTATAAGACAGCAGGAATTAGTCCAATGGAGCAGAGAGTAATTTGATTCTTCCCTTGTTGGAGATTCCCAGAAATAAAACATCTCATGAGAGCTATTGGCAATTCAAATACCTTCCTCTAATTTAAATAATTAAATTTATGTCTCTAATTCATGCTAGACCAGCCTGCACTTGAGATGCAGCAAGGACAGCTTTGCAGGTCATACCACGCTGTAGTGACTGTCCCTTTTTAACAGCCACAGTTATGGAATAGTCATGTCCATGAAAAACAAACTGACAATGGTCAAGGGGCTTGTTTTGCATTTTCCTGATGAAGAACTACTCCCCACGCAAGGGCTCCCCTCCTCAGCCTCAGCTCCCGTGTCACCACCACAGTGCTCCCCTCTCAGCACAACACCCAAAAAGCCAAATACCTACCAAGGGTGCAGAGCCAGAAAGGGGCTTTGCATGCTCAGCTTCATAGATGTAATAGTCCAGGGGTAGAAAGAAGTACCCTGGAGCTGGCTCGTTGCACTGGCGGCTCACGATGTTGGGCAGACACTCGCACTGACCATCCTTCAACGAGCACCTATGGGAGGAATTGGAAAAGGGAGGACATCAGAGTGGCACAGCTGGGTCCTCACAGCATGAGGGCAGCTCACACCCATCCTCGTTCCACCTTTGCCTAATTTCTCCCATTGCTGGATTACCTCTGTTACTAAACTTCTTCCTATCACCCATCTCCTTTGTTTCTGATGCTGGATTTATTCAGTGCTACTTTTCCATGATTTCAGAGTTCACAACCTCCTTTGTTTTTGTCGGTTCCATACCTGAAGCACTGATCCTTTTGTTTCCTGAGCATCTGTCACTGTCTATTCCTGTATAATTTCCTGTATCTTTTTCTATAAGAATCACTATATCACGATTGTTAATAATCTGTCACCCACAATTATGGAGGCAGGACATGAAATCAGAGGGACTTTTGATGTGATATTGAATGTTTTCATATGCTTACACGTATGTTTACCACACCAGGTGATTTACCTGCTCACAAGGAGCTGCTCTACAGCATGGGACTGTGTGCTCCTCTGTCTGAAGCCTAACAGCAGCAGTGAAGACTCCTACACAACAGATTTTGGAGGAGTCCAACTGAAACCAACCTTGCTTCTAAAATTATACATTTTAAATAGGACTGATAAAAAAAAAAATCTAGCATTTAAGGTAGATGTAGGAAGCTAAGTCAAAAATGTCATCTCCAACTTACTTCTAGTTTCTAATAATATTAGGGCCTCTGATTCTCTCAAGGCATGTGTTTTATATTTCATATAAAACACATCTTGGCTCAACCTGATTTAAGGTTGGCTTCAAAGGAAATAAGTAAAAAATTACCACAAATAAATATATAAGATCTCCACCCAAATTTACACTGTTTGTATATGATGAAATTCCATCTACATTCTATTTCCCTATCTGTACTGTGACTATATTAACCTAACCAAAAAATCTAGCCTAAGAGTTTATAAAAATTAAAACCAAGAAAGAACTTGAAGAACTTACAAGTTATTCTGGGATCCACCGATATCACAGTCACATGGAGAACAGCCATACAAGCTGTTGCCAAGACCCCAGTATCCTGCCTGGTACAAAAAGAAAGGTTCTTCTATGGCAAATGTTTAAGTATGCAAAGCAAAACAAAACTTGTTCTGCTGGATGAACAATGGAGCACTACTGTGCTTGGCCATGGGAGATTGCTCCTCTTACTGGATAGCAGGGGTGCTCAGCCACTGCAAGAGCCAGATATTTACCCACTTGTACAAGCAAATTGCTCTGTAAACAGCTAAAATGGATCAAGGACATAATTTTGCATTTCCTTTCCTTCCTGGGAGTGCTCCTCCCCCTGCAATTTGATTGCACAAATACTTGGGAGCAGAGAAAGAAAAACAAATGTGTCAATGCAAATTGGGATAATACCATACAGCTACAAAATTATTTTGAATTTTGACTAATTGTTCACTTTTCTGGCAATGAAAAGGTGTGAAATGAGTGAGGAGACTTCCACAACCACATGCAGAAGCGAACCCAGAAACTGAGTACGTACAAGGCATCTTTCACAGCGCTGCCCTGTGGTGAACCTCTGGCAGAGGCACTGTCCCGTGGCAGGATCACAGACGGAGAAGGGCAAGCTGCCCAAGGGATCGCAGTTGCAGGCTGCAGGGACAGAAAAGTGCAGTTAGCTCTGCAGGCCCCAGTGACGGCCCAGGACTGGCGTTTACATTATTTGTGGCATCAGCATGACTGGCAGTCTCCATTCTCCACACAGACACTCTGCAGATGAATGTGCCCTGGCACCCTCCAGCCCTCAGACTGCCCTTGGAAATGGACAGTTTCCCCAGTGGGTCTCTTTCTGGGGGGAGCAGAGGCACTGGCAGAAGGCCTCAGCAGTGGTTTGCCAAGGGCTGTGTGCTGATCTGCACTGCAGTCCTTGTGTGTGGCTGAGCACCTGGTGTGGGCATAACAAACCCACAGTGCACCTGAGCAGGGGTGGGATGTGCTTCCACCAAGCCTTTCTCAGAGGAATGATTGGCTGGAAGTTCTTTTGGCAAGGCAGTAGCTTGCTGTCGTCTCAATATCTCTTTTCAATTAAGTTGCATATTTAATAACCCTTCTGTGAGCAACAGCCTGATCTGTTGTATTATACTATGTATTCTGAAAGTGATTTTGCATTGTTTCAGTCTTGGATGCTGCACCAGAAACCTTGAATTTTGCTGACATTAAATTACAGTAGGCAGCTGTGTATTTTGTGACTCAAGTCACAAGAGCATTAGTGTGTGGATCTGTGCATTCAGCTACCTCCATGCCTTAGAAACGCTTTGGAAAGGAGACTGGAAGAGGTGGTTTACATACGCTGGCAGCCCAGGGGGTCGCTGCTGCTCAGCCCGTGGTAGTTTGCCTTGCACTTGTCGCAGCGAGCGCCCTCCACGTTGTCCTTGCAGGGGCAGCGCCCTGCCACCGTGCCCAGCGCGGGGTCCGTGCGGCTCTCGCACACGCCCTCGGGCACGGTACCCGCGGGGTCACAGCTGCAGGCTGCAGGTCAGGGAGACACACAAAAAAAGCACACGGAGATGTAAGCGTGAAAATGCAGTTACAGAGCTGCAGGTGGTCTGCCCTTCCCTCCTGAAGGAGTTTTCATGCCAGTCAATTGCTACAATTAAATAATACTCAGAGCGTTCTCTCCATCCTATGTTAGTAATGAATTCAGGTCATCTTTCAGAAGAAGAGCTTTCATGTCTGAAAGATTATTTTTCTTGCATATGGCAGGTATCTAGCAAAAGTTATTTACTCCTCCCATCATTTTGGTGCCTCTTCTGTAATTGCTGAAGGTCACAGAAGCAACACCACTACTGCTATTTGTATTTCTATTGACCTTGTTCAAGAAAAATTATAGCTTTGCTGGATTTCTAAGCTCTGTTCAGCAAGGAGTTGGAATATGAAGCTCCTTTCACAATGATGGATGGAGGATACTATCATACAGCTACTTAGTAGGGCAGTTTGGATGTTATAGGTTGGGTAACATTTTTACCACCACGTGGACATTTAAGCACGGGGATGGCCATAGGGCTCAGAGCAAAGGGAACCAGAACAGCCCTGCTTTGAGTCACTCTTACAGAAGTTAAAAAGGGAAGCTTACGGAGGCACGGCCGAGGATCTGAGATGACTTTGAGTGGATCCTGGTAAAAGGAAGGTTTGCAGCTGTCGCAGTGCTGGCCCGTGGTGTTGTCCTGGCAGTCCTCACAAACGCCACCGCTGACCCCGCCGCTGGCCTGGTACACGGCCATGTCAAAGTGGCACCTGCTGGAGTGGCTGTTGCAGTTACAACCTGAAACCAAAGCAAACAGGGGGGCATTTCACACCAGGTAAATGCTGTGGTCTGGCCACATTGCTGTCTTACAGCTGGGGGAAAAAATTGAATCTTTGGACAGAACTGTATCCTAAACTTGGAAATGCAGGTGAGTGTGCCTGGTATACAGTGGGGAACACTGCCCTGCTGAAGAAATCTCTAGCTGAATATTTGTCTACAGATCCTAATTTATTATTCTTGTGTATACTGCATTACTCATTATTGTGGAAATAAATAATTTAGCCTTGTCTAAATTCTTTCACTCACATGAAAAACACTGTAAAAACACTGTGCAAACCAATGAATGATCTTTTTTTGCATTAGCTCCTTTTTTCCCCCTCTTTTTTTTTCTGTATGAAGAATAAGAACATGAAACAGCTCTTCCTCTTGTAAGATAACACAGCATCTGTGGATGTAGGAACCTATTTTTCTGGATGAGGCATAAAAAAGTCTCCCTCCCAGAAACCGGCCATCTCATTATGGATTGGACTAGGATTGTGTCACACCCACTCCTGGCTATTAGAAAGGAAAATATCGTGTTTGAGTTACGTTTGCAAGCATTATCTTGTGTCCCTTCAGCTGGCCTCCAGGGAGCATCATTGTAGAAATCTTTACATCTTTCACAAGAGGAACCTTCAGTGTTATGGTGGCAGATACATCTCCCATGGACCTGTAATGTGGTGAGAACAGAGAGCAGATAAGGTGACAAAAAAAAGGGAGAGGAGAGGAGAGGAGAGGAGAGGAGAGGAGAGGAGAGGAGAGGAGAGATATTTGTTTAAGATATGTCAGCAAGATCAGGAACATTTGAAGCTCTTTGGCTCCCTCAGCTGACATAATTTTCAATTATTTGAGTAAAAGATCTGGAGAATACATCCAAACATTAACCAAATTGTTTTAAAGCCACTGAGCAACATTTAGAAAAAAAATACTTAAAGAGATATCAAAGGAGACATAAACATTTTAGATTATTTCTCTCTCTCCCTATATGTCTTCATATCGTGATACATATTTTCCAGGAGAAAAAACTCTTGTTCCCAGAGGGAAAGAACTTGCAATCACATTCCTGGGATTTTTAATAATCCATTTTTCATGGGTTAGCTTTGCATTATCAGCTATTCTTTGTGCCAGTGCCTCCCTTCCCGTTGCAGAGCCTCCAGGCCCAGCTGGAGTGTGGAATGCACCCAACAAGTGGCCATTCAAGTCTGCACATGCCATAGGCTACTTACTGCATTACATTTGCACCATTACAGCTCTGGCATTTTGCTGCTATTATCAACACGTCTTGCCCCAGTTGCTTTTGAAACACCACAGCAGTGCCAACAAAGACAGCTTCTGTGCACTCCAACCCCGGGTTTTAAAGGAAGAGTCTGCATTGAAACATTTAACTAGCAGTTGCAAATGGCCAATCCAAAGATTATCAGAGATCTTCCTTCAGCTCCCTCCCTCCATCTCTTGCTTCTCACAAAACACCAGTGGAGACTCCCCTTTTTGGAGACAGCATTAAGGACACACCATCCCAGACTGGTGGAAAACATCTCCCCGTAGGTTCTGCATGGAATCACACTGGCTGGCATGGCCATTGCAAAAGCAGCTGCCCCGCACAACCATCTCATAGATGGCATAGTAGTACTTCTCAAGGGGATCACCGTGCCTCCTCCCAAGCAGAGCATCTCCAAGGGTGTGGAGTTTAGTAAAATTGATCCTTAGGTTTGTCAATGTAATGAGATCTGGAAGGAAAGAAGAGAGGTCAGGAGCCCAAGTTCAGTCTAAAATGAACAGTATGAAATCTTCAGCTTGAATCAGTCATCCAAGAAATTTCTCATAGTGAAGAGATAATGAAAATGATCCACTATTGGCCAAGATCAGTAATGCCTACAGTGGCAGTGCAGGGACCCACTCCTGGCACACAGCTGCATAAGTGTTAGCATCCTACTTGGTATGGCTCTGCATTTTCCCAGCCACTGTCTTCATGGGTTCATGTGTACCTCTGGGACTGCTCTCAAAAAGCAGTATGGACTGGGCCTGAATCCAGAGGGAAAGACAGTCTAGCTTCATGGATGTGCTCTGCAGAGCTTTGCTGTTTGCCCCCGGGGCTAGAGAACAAGACTGGCCCATTTCATTTACTAATACAATGTGCCCCTAAGATCTTTAGGTACCTAATTTTCAACATCATTGACTTACACCAGCTGAAGTCTTGACCCTTTCAGTGTACAAAACAAAAAATACCATACCAGCAAAGTGTCTCTGGACAAAACATGTAGTGTCCATACCTTGGATATATGGCACATACGGATTTTCTATTTCAAAGCTGGGGTCCAAAGCTTTTAAAACAACCTGCAAAACAAATCAATAAAGCTCTAGAGATGGGATGAGCAGCCACCAAAGGGATCAAAGGACAGGCCTCTGCTTTTAGCAGACACAGACAAGAGACCTCCAGTTCCACAAATGATTTGAACTCATACAAACTTGACAGTACCTCGCCTTCAGTGGAGGGCTCGATGTCTGAATATCTTGAATCACAAACAACATCTCCAACACTTTTTGCTGGACCAGAAGAGATGTTGGGGAAAGAAGCTGCACAGTCATGTGCAAAATATCTGAAGACTTTCCAGGTCTGACCAAAATCGGCAGAGCGCTCAACCAGCATTGCTGCAGGCCGAAATGTCTACAAGAAATATTTCAAGAATTCCCTAAGCCAGCATTAATAAGACACCACAGGGGTTGTTACATTGATATTTCTCTTTGGAGGAAGCTAAAATTTTTTATTTGAGGGTTTATAGGCTCATTACAGGTACTGTGATGGTTACAGGAATCTCTAAAAAAGCTCATTAGAGCCTCTCTCTTGCAAAAGGGAAAGGTAACATTTCATAAAAATATGTGATTACTTTCTAAGTAAGGAAGTTTACCATAACAATTAGGAATTTAGTAAAAAAAATTGTAATCATCTAGATCATAATTGATGTGCATGAACTGAACTAAATTGAAAGAGCAACTGCAGGTCAGATATGTCCTCCATTTTTAGAGTGTAATTTTGCAAAGTATTTTTCCAGTTTTAATTCTTGGATTTATAGAAAATAGGTTCAGAAGGCACACGAAT